ATAGATAGCTTTGAGAATTATTTGGAATTTTTCAGCATGCGTTGTAAAGTCAAAACGTACTTCAGCCCCACCTGTGAAAGTAAAAGCCATGCTTTCCGCTACATCACACTGTTGGCTATGTATCTGGAGAAAGATTGTACGTTTGCTTATTCACAAACACATGACATTTTATGAACTTATTCCAGCATACTGTGGCATATGTTGTTCATATCATTTCAAACAGAAATACTAGAGAGATCACACAGATCACTTCCCTCTGTACATTATAAGGCCAGGAGAGTTGGGGAGTTGAGGAGATCCACCGATTCAGCCTTGCCCCCTCCGCCTTTATGACCGTCTAGTCCCTCTGTGAGATAGTCCATCTCGGGACAGGCGAATGTGAACACAGACAGGTAGCTGCTGCAGGTGGGGGTGGAGGTCACCACCGGAGTGCTGAGAGGCTCCAGGTCGCTGGAGACAGACTTGTAGAGGGTCTCCCAGTCCGAGACCCCGAGGGAACTGCTCAGATCGATGTCTGGCACGGATCGAGCCGTCTCCATGGGGGTTTTCTCCTCCAAACTGGGTAACATATTCTCCAGCAGCCCTTCCTTAATGTCCAGAGAGGGCTCAAGATCGCAGATGTTGATTTCAGCACTGGCGCACAGCAAGATGTCGGAGTTCCCAGAGATGGCTGTGGACGGATCACTGGAGATATCCATGTCTTGGAGCGAGGGAGCTTCCTGGGTGCCATCCTCTGGGAGTCGGTCCTCGTCCGGACTGGGCGGTAGCTCTGGGGACCCCGTGGGCTCCTTGAAGATAGACTCCAACTCTTCTGACATCTGGCACACTGGTTTGTGTGTGGCAAGGATGAATTCAAGCCGTTCTTTCTCTTTCAGGAGGTTGGCTATTTCCGTCTCCAGGGCTGCTCTTTCCTCCTCCAGCTCGTCTGTCTCCTTCAGATAGATCGACATCCAGAATCATCCACGTTAGATAACACACACGCAAACAGTGGGTGCATATGACAGCTGAGTAAACAAATCACTGTTTACTTACAGTTTGCAGTGTATCCGTGAGTTCCCTCCGTCTGTTGCGACATTTTGCTGCAGCCATTTTATTCCTCTCCCTCCTTACCCTCTTTTTCTCTTCCTCCTCTGGAGACAGCTGGGATGTGAAGGAAATAATTCAGTTATTACCTTGAAGAATGCAGCCATTTCATCCTCTAATCCCGCTGCATCTGTTGCCAATTCCCCCTCTGAAGAATGGCAAAAGCATGTTTCGCTGCAATGCGTCTAAAAATAGACCATTGTTGCAGACTTGCTGTGACCTGAATATAAATTGACTGCCTAAGAAAGGCACACGGCACCAGAGGAGCATGCACAATAGCACTGTTGCACACAAGGAATTCAGACAAGCATATGTAAATTTACACTATTGACTATTCTGTCCAATGGCAGGTAGACTTCATCTGAGCTCACCTACCTGATCTGTTTTCCCCTTTCTGGCAGCATTTTTGCCCTTATTCCCGCCCACTTTGGGTGTTGCCTGGTGAGAGCTTTGTGGTTCATTGGCTTGCTTGCTACCCAGAGACAGGGAGACGGATGTAATAATTGTAGGCTGGACCATCCACTGGAAATCTGGGGTAGAGGAAATTGCAGTGACTGTTGGAACAAATGGAGTGTCTTCAACGCTCATGTCTTGGCAGAGCTCCTGAAAAAGGGAAATAATCCACAATGAGGACTATAATAAAGATTTCTTAAAATAAATATATTCCCATGCCATTAGTGGCTTCGAGTGGATCCTATTGTGATAACAATCCTCAATTAAACCCACACATCGTATGTTTAGAGACTAAAACAGAAGGCAGCCTGCATGTGTTATATTTTCTTGAAATAAACCCATCCAGAAATAGCCTTCTCCAGATCAATATTTGACTTTATCATGGTTTCTGACGTCAACGCTGACGCAGAGATGCTGTGGAGTCTCCTGAATAGATTTATTTTTCTCAATGAACCGCTGCATCGACACGCTCACATTTGGTCCCAGGACGTCGGAATCACAACAACCCGGACAACGGTGCTAATTTGTCACATCAACCCACGCCGATCGCACGTCAAATGTATTCAGCAAATGCATTTTTACAAAAGAACGATGATTAAAAAAATAAATAAAGCGCACCGAGTTAATTAAAATCTTATCAATCAGTTCCCCCTCCCCCCACCTAGAATGCTAACAATCAGTCTGTGGACCACGTAAAAAAAAAAAAAAAAAAGGGCGCTCAATTAGCTCGTGAACAGAGCGCCTCCTGGGCTGCATGTTGACTGTATGATCAACAAAGCCATTCATACCTTTGCATTGCTCTCTAAGGAGGAAGCTGGAGAGCTCGCCTCTTCTGGCGTCTTCTGGAAAAGTGTCCCGACAGGAGACTCTGGCCGGCAGGTGGAAGAGACTGAATCCATGTCAGGCGTCAGGTTATTATGATACATCACGAGGGGGGGAAAAACACAAGTCCTGATCAATGACAAATGTGACTCTGGCCTTCCGCTGTTCTCCAGGTATATACCTGGTAACTGGACGACTAGAATGCAAGCCCCTCCTTTTATGCTCCGCTAGAATTTTATGAATGAAATAAGACTGTACCATCCGCGGAGGGGGGAGGATGGTCAGACGGACAGACACACAGGCCTACTTTTCGGGTTAAAACGACATTATTTTGACATTTAGCATCCAGTATATTTCCTCCACGAGTGATATGTTACAACATGTCTCAGATGTGGTCAAAACTTCGTCACTGCTCGAAAGCCATACAGCAGTTTTCACTCCCATTCACAAATATCGGCTTCATCTGAATGCAACGTGGGGTGAGAAGCGTGAGCCTATTTATAAATACATATATGCAGGCTAACAATTTCCTGCGATGATGTCCTGGTGCATTTACTTATTCAAGGGTAAAAAAAACACTCAAGTAGGCTCCTTAAATAGCCGGACAACACACACTGACTTGTAATAATGTAAAAGCTCATTTTATTGCAAGGTCAACGCATTTTGCACGAGCATTTCAAAATATACACTTTGTCTTCTCTTACAGATTAACCAAATGTCCTCACCATTTCATTTGATGAAACATGTGCTTCTCCAGTTTATTTATTTGTTTACTTAACGTTAACCGTCAGACAGACATCTGGATAACCTCAGCACTCCGGGGCTGCCTTTTACAAAGATACGAATCGGGAGCTGCTGGCAGACATAATGAAATGATGCTGAAATTGTTTACTTGGGGCGGAGGTGGCGAAGAGGAGAGGCTGCACATGTGGGGGCGGAGAAGTCACGTGACGCGCCCCGGAACTGGAGGGAGACGAACGAAGGGGGCGGGGTCAGCATCTGACAGGCGCGGGATCAACCGTCACTCTGATCATCACAATAAGGGGTTTGGCAGCATGTCTAAACTTGGCGTTTTCCTGCTGATCCCGGTCCTTTTGGACCCGGTGCTTTCTATTACATTCTACCTGCCGGTCAACTCTATGAAATGTCTGCAAGAAAACATCCACAAAGACGTGCTCGTTTTAGGCGATTACGAAGTGGACGAAGATCCAAAAACCAGGACTAATTTGAAGGTACCCGCACGGCAGCTGTAATGTTCATCTTGGCGGTTTCTTAAATCAAACAAGTTGTTTTCTACGTTTTTATTAAAAAAAGAAAATGAAAGATTAAAAATACACTAAAAATGAATCCTGCAATGAATATTCTTGTAAATTGTTTTGATATTCTGTCAAATATTTTTTTCACCAAAACAAAATGTGTAATGTGAATAATCAAAAAAAGTATAGGGGCATTTAAACAAATGTTATTCTCCTCAGATCAATGATTCTTTGGGGGACATGTTGTACACCAAGGAGAATTTTCATTCATAACAGAAAGTTACGACCAGTTTGGCGTTCGCTTCAACAGCATATCTCCAATGGGTGAGTGAGGTACAATCTTTTCTCAATTAATTATTAGTGATAGAGGTAATATTCCAACTCAATTGGACAAACAAAAACATGCACAATTGGGGTGTAAAGTCACGCTTAATCCAAATTATTTTCTGTCAAATAACTAAATAAGTGTGTTATTGCTCATCATTAGGCACTGGCAGGGTCCCAGACCAACTGGTCATACTGAACCTGAAGCATGGTGTGGAAGCCGAGAACAACACAGAGGTGAGGGGCCGTGTTATACTATTACATCACATAGCATCAGTACCATTACTATTAATCCAAACTACTACTGATAATTCAATGTATGATGGCGCAACATGACAAAAATTACTCTTGCAACCTCTTCGTCAGATTGAAAATTTGGAGAAACTGACCCCCCTTGAGGCGAAGCTAATGCATCTTGAGCACCTCTCACAGTCCATTGCAGATGACTTCAGCTACCTGAGGGAACGAGGGAAAGAGATGCGACAAACAAATAGTAAACTAATAGAGCAATATCTTTACTGCAGATGATAATCACCACTTAGGCAGAACATTGCAGAGTGACGGATGATGTTTCTCTTTTGGCCACATGTGAGAAATCAGAGCAGATGTAAATCACCTGTTTAGCTAGAAGAGGAGCAAGCTTATGGCTTTGAACTGAGCTGCAGCAGTTTTCTCCTCAGTGTGATTCATGTATCTGAAACTATCAAGTTGAAGTTTTGACACTATTTAACTGCAAATTCCTTTCTTAAACAGGTTCCACCAACACGCGGCTGCAGCTCTTCAGTGTCGTGTCCGTCTGCTGTTTTCTTGGCGGCGTGGCAGATTCTCTATTTGAAACGATTCTTCAAGACCAAGAAGTTGATCGAGTAAATACGTTTTTTTGAGCGCAGCCTGAGGGACACTGAGGGACTGAACGTTTGGAAACGTATACAAGGTCGCCACAATGTGCCTTTTGCTGCGTTTGTGATAATGTGATAATATTTGAAGGGTTCATTTGAAAAAACAACAGATATCACAATTTTTATGTTTTCTAAATCAAGTTGTATTTTTTGTCCTCTCCACGAAATACCAATCAAACTGGTGTTGGGTTGTTTTGATAAAATATCAATATTTTTCCACTGTGCAGACAAGAGACCGTCAATCATACTTGTGGTGTTTAATTCAGTTTAAGAATGGTGTAATAGCAAATGAACGATTCCTTTATAAACCTGTTTTTGTGTATTCATTTGTTTTATATGTTAAATATGTTGTTTATATAAAAAGACAAACAAGAGGATTCGGTCACAGGGCTTTGGGAGTAATTTGACTATTTAAGCCATTTAATTTCGATGAGTTACAATTCATTTTGTTGACAGTAAAGACACACCCACTTATCCATTTCCATATAGTTCCCACGCTTTATACATTCCTCTCAGCTTTTGGAGGTTGGGTTTCTGTAATTCCTGCAGGGGACAAAAATGCTCAGTCACCAACGGATTGTAAAATGCCTTAAATAGTATATCTAGTACAAAGTTCAGATGCGCTCGTCTATTCTAGTACCTTCTCGTCTTTGTCCAAATGGAGGGTGTCTACTAAGGGAGCAATGGATGGCCGGCCATGGGCACACTGGAAGGGCAACTGACAGGAGGACAAGGATGCCACCAAGCTGCAGCATTCCTCTCTACTCAGGCTGTCGTTGAATTTGATGGCACCTGTTTAATGCATACATGTATTAAAGCGATGTGCAACAAGATATCAGTGGGGAAACTGTCACTTATTGAAACATCAATGCACAAGAGAAATAATGTAACCGTACCATGGCATGCTAGCGAGGCCAGCACCTTCAGCACAGTGAGAGGCAGAGTTCCTCTTACTCTACCAGTGGAGCGGAGTAACTGAGAAAAACAATTGAAATGTTGCATGTTAGCCTTTATTAAGTTAATGTTATATTTTCTCCATACAAAAAGGGTTTAGGGACTTGAAAAAACACTTCCAAACTTGCCTCAATCTGCTCTTGAAGATACTCCTGATGTGTGATTGTAGGGAAAAAGAAGAATTGTGAGATAATCACTTGGCTAAACAAGCGATACAACAGATGGTTTCTTAAGTCTTACCTTAACAATAGGCTTGATAACAGATCGTCTCCCGCGCCTGAGCTCATTACTCTCCTTTTCCATGAAGCACAGCGGCACCTTTCCCACGAAAGCTTGTGGAGTCGCTGCCTGGGAGAACTTCACTTCCAGGCCCAAACTCCGCAAATGTGCTCCACAAGACCTTTAAGAGGAAGAGTCCATCAGCGATACAGAAAACACCGCTCGACCAACATGCGAACATAACAGTACCCATGACAGGAAACAGACAGGTTTGAAATAAACCATCAGTGTCAATTAGAATGCAGTATAGACGAGGAATTAAACAGAAAGAGTTTGAGCTTTAAAAGCAAAAACAACAACCCAGCCATGGTGAACGTTGGTTTAAAACATTTACAGCCCAGGCCACAGTAGAGCGTATCGTTTATTTAGGTTTGGAAAATGTAAGTTTGAAAGATGACAACAGGCTTCTGAGTTGACCGACTGTGTCGGCGGTTACAGATTCATGACGTCCGTGTCCAAATCAAGCAAAGTGCTCACTTAAGAGTTGACTCATTCTACTGTCTGGAAACCGACGCGATTTTCTTGTCATTGGATTACAAGAGAAATACAGAGACATTTGGGGACGTACCCTCTACTATTAATACAGGCTGCCACATCATTAGAGTGCCGATGCTACTGAATGAGGGCATTTGAGCCAACAAGTGTTGGAACAAATTGCCTTCAGCCACACTTACTGAACACATTTATATTGTCAGACTTCACCTTTAAGCCTGTAGCTCTGTAAACACAGTAACACACACCTCAGCAGCCGCTGCTCTTCCTCTGTTACGCTGATCTCGAGAGGTGGCAAAATGGTTGATGAACACAGACGTCTCTCCCCGGGTGCCTCTGGGTCCTCCTCATAAGAATCTATGACAGGACATACATTTATGACTGTGGCATCACATCAGGGTCCCAGAAACAGCACTGTTAATCTAACAGTGCTCAATCTTTTTAACCTGCAAGTAGATTTTCAAGTCGAACTCTCTCGTGTGCAGCGTGTTGATCTACCAGCACCAGAAGGTTTCCTGGGGTTTCAACATAAAGAGCATGAGATGCGGATGAATCAACAAATGACAAACAGTTAAGTCCCGTCTATACCTTCAGTTTCACCGAGTGCTGCAGACTCCTCATCTCTTGTGTTGATGAGACATGCAAGAAACTTCTTATCCACCTGATGAATAACCTATAAGGCGATTAAATAGCAGTTACTTCATAAAAATCAATGCAGGTTGAATGGATGAAGCATTATAAAAGAACATTTTGTCAGAAGAGACATTTGCCTTCATTGAGTGAATCATGGCTTTAGAGAAACGGTAAGGAAACAGGATGTTGTGGATCTTGACAGCCAGTCCGTCGGCTTGCCCACTCGATATGTCCACACCCACCTGGAGGCAGAGTAGAGTTCATAATGCATCACTAAAAACAGTCAATTCTAAATATTAAGACACTAAACTTATTTAAATCCTTACAGAGTTATTAACAAACAAGTGTTGTTTACCGTAGGAGGGCAGACAAACACGGGATTATTCCATTTTGAGTACAACGACTTCAGTGAGTCCGACCTCTCAACATCTGATAAGACAAACAATATCAAACATGAACACAAACCAATAATCATTTTGTATACGAGTGTGTGTGTGTGTGTGTGTGTGTGTGTGTGTGTGTGTGTGTGTGTGTGTGTAAGGCAGCCTACCATCTACAGTCTGATCTGTCTGCCGGGTACCACTGCCATCAAGCACTGAACTAATCACTCGTTCTGTCCTGGATTTAGGGAGGAAGGGCAACACTAGATCCACCTGAAACGGGTAACATCTGTATTCCATCCCTACAGTTCAGTGAAGGTTAATATTGGTTAATATTGAGCACTACTTCCAGTTACTATCATGTCAACATCACCTGCTGATAAGCTGCCAACTCACCCATTTCAGAGACGACACTAACTGCCATATTGGTGACGTCAGATGTACAGCAGGCCTGCGTTTCTTCCGTGGGCGGGTGTTCATATCGGCTGAGGCCCGTCACTTTGTTGACATAAACCGTCTTCCCCACAGATGTGTCGTAGTGATGAAGCCAGTCCCCAGATGTTGTGTCCTCTTCCCTCTCAGCCAGTAGAGGACTTTCACAGCAACCCAGGACCGGCTCAGGATTCGGGGACTCACGACGGAGACGGGTATTGTCCTGCGAGGTCGTCCTCGACAAGTGTGGCGATACGTTTGAATCGTCTGTCCTGTGTCGTTTCAAATGGACGAGTTTTGCTGCCAAAGATATTTTGCCTTCATTCTGCCCTGAGACTGGTTTTAACTTGGTGAATGCCAAGTGGGTTTGTGGTCTTCGGAGGCTGCTCCGTGTCTCTTCTTTTTCTTGCTGGTCTTTCTGGCAAACAGACACATTCTGGGAATTCAATACAAAGCTGTCTGTCTGAGGAAGTCTAGTATGACTCACTTGATGAGTCTCTTGAGAGGGCAATTTCAGCTCACCAGCTTGGCCACATATTCTTCTGAACTTCTCAAGGGATCCAGACTCCTTACGTAAAGACAGCTTTTGACAAGTTGAAATTCGGTGAAACTTTGAGGGAGTTATGTCGTTGGATGGTTCCTGACTAGTTCTGCCGTGGCCTGCATACAGTGAGATTTTGCGTTTTGATGCAAAGGATCTCTCTTCACATTTCGGCGCTAAAACCTGTCGCTGAAATACCGACTTGTTGATTTGGGACGGGTCCTGAGTCAGCAGTCTTTCATGAATGTATGGATCAGACAGGCCGATCCTTCCGTTACTTATTAAAGTAATTTCTTGTCCTCCTGCACCCTGACAGTCAGGTAATATTAGCTCAATACTGTTTAAATCGGGTTGAATTTGTTGACAGACGCCATCTACTGGAATCCCACTGCTGGTTGAGGCTGTTATGTTTAATAGCGTCTCTTTTTCTTTTGAGGGTTCCACTTTTTCACTTTCTAGTTGTCTGACTGAATTTAAAACACATAACACTTGAGTGTCTTCCCCAGCTTCACTAAAGGCTGGCTCCTCCCCCACAGTAATGTTATTATCAGATCTAGCCAGATCACACAGTGGCTCAGATCTATATTCTTTGTTTATACCTTCTTCACTATTTATATTTTCCAACTCATTTGCAGTTATCTTTTGCTTCCCCTGTTCTTCAGTCTCTTCCTTGCACTCCGTCCGACCAACATTGTCCTCATATACACAGTCATCCTTGCGCTTTCGATAGACAGCATCAGATGCCAGTTTCATTGCAAAAGTACAATCTAGTGAGGAAGCTCCGCTAGTTGCTTGGCCACCGTCGCCCGTGTTATGTCCCTCTTGGTCTGTATTGTGAGTGCAAAACAATTCGGGAGCTACGTAGTCCAAGTCATCGTGAGAAAGCACAGCCACCAAGTTCTCCTTGCTCAGGAAAGCTTTCACTGCCTCCTCTATACATAGCAAAACTCCATCCCAATCTTTGAACTCTATTAGAGTTTTGGCAGGCTCGAGACATATGTCATACTCCGAGTAAGGGCATTTGATATTGATGACGTATACTCCGTGCTGCTCGTGGCTTCGTTTGTGCTTTGGACTCCTGAGAGCAGAATGCCCGTCTGGACTGTCATTCTTCGGATTTGAAGCACTCAGTCTGCGAAGGAGAAAGTTCAGGAGCTTGTGTATCCGTGTTTTCAGGAGCAGTCTGTCGTTTACATACAGGAACTGTAAGCTGCTATTGTAGTGTCCTTCTCTGCCAATGTGACCCATCACTTCAAACAGTCCACGCGTGCAGCGGATTTCTCCAAGTTTCTGTGCTCGCCCGAGGCCGTGCATCTGAGCAAACCTGTGGTAGGTGTTTCTGGCTTTAGGAAGCTGCACCATCATGGCTCCTGTGCAGTCATTCTTCAGGGTGAAGGACACAGAGGGATGCACCAGTGAAATGGCCTCCACTCTGTGTCTGATCCGCTCACCCTCCAGGACAGCGTCCATCCTCTTCCTCCGGACTGGCATGTTGTGGAAGAAGTTACAAATTACAACAGTTGTCCCTGAAGACGGTCGGGCAGTCTCTGCCTCAAACACATCCATGCCCTTGCCATCTTTGAAGATTTTGACGTGAGTTTTCACAGATGATCTGGTGCGGGTTGATATTTCAACTAGTGTGGCCAGTGAGACGACACTCGCCAGGGCTTCTCCCCTGAAGCCATACCACCTGAGGTTGTCCAGGTCTTCGACGGTGCTGCATTTGCTTGTGTAGTATCTGTTTCCCACGCACTCCAAGTCCTCAGCATTTATCCCAGCGCCGTTGTCGACTACCTGTACTTTGAACGCCTCCATGTCCATCCTGGCCCCCACACAGGTCGCCTCGGCATCAATGCTGTTCAGGATCAGCTCCTCTATGCACTGCTGAAGCGAGGGAAGAGCGACACCGGAGCGAAGTTTCCCCCGTACGTCTTTAGGCAAACACTTAATCATGGTGTTCATAACATTCAGCTGTCTTAAAATTAGCCGTTGCTAGCTAACACTCAGTACCGTTAGCTTAACGCTAACGTTAGCTAGTTCCACAACTTTGTGATTGCGAAACATTAAAATAAGTCGGGATACACTGCCTGTTAAAATTAAAAAATAAAAACTATCGAAAACAATGCTAAAATCAACCTCGGCTGCTGTTTACAGTCAACGTGCAACATCAAGAGCAGACCGCAGCAGCCAACAGCCAAATCTAACAGCGCCATCTTCCGGTGTGGAGGACCTACTGCTCGACGTACTTTTCCTTTATTCGTTGACAAATTTCAACCAGCTGTGAATGTGCGTAGCGCCACCTACTGTACGGAGAGTGCTATCTCATGTGTTTACTGACTTGTATTTTATTAACTTTATGAGTTTCATAAAAAGAATATCCAACTCCAAAAGAAAGACAGAGAGAAAAACAGGCAGGAGAACAGACAGACATTGATAAAAAAAAAAGGCAGTTATTTGTTTAAAATAATGTGGTTGGCTTTAGTACAGGGCAACAGTTACAGATGCACTGTACAGCCAAACCATCACATTCTTGTCAAGGTTAGGTTGTTCCCTCCGGATATATATCCACAAAAGCTTTGTTTTTTTTAACCATATCGTACTTCCAGTTCATTCTTCTTAGCATCTTTTCACACAACAATTTCTGTTATTTGTTCCCGCCACATTTTCAACGGAGGAGACAAACATTCGACTAAATAATGGAATAAATACAAGTAAATTATCATTTATCACATGACGAGCCAAGGGAGAAAATGTATTATCTTCACTCTTAATAATCCCCCAGATTCCATTTATGGCCCATGTTGTATTTATGTACCACTTTCTTTCTGTCATACAACAAGTCAATATCCAATTCCATCACATTTGTGTGAAGAGTTGGTCCGATTTTAATTTTGTACGCCATGTCCGCTCCCTCTATACCTCTTGTTTGCCTCCTGACATCATCAGTGACTTTCTTCATGAGTATTTTCCCAAATTATTCAAATGAACGCAATTTGAGGATTCATTGATCCTACATCTTTGGCTGTTTTGTCAGTGATTCTCCGCAGCCACCCGCAGAGTCAGTCCTTTGCAAAGGAGGGCAGCAGCTTGCTTTTGCTCACCAGGATGTCTGCTGGATTCTGGATAATGTAGTCACCTCGTCAAATATTCCCTATATTGCTACAATAAAATTCAACAATGTGATGCAGGCTGGAAGGACTTTTATTACACTATTGTGTAGATGTTAAGGATGAACATAAATCATTTCAATACTTGAGATGCATTCCAACTAATAAAATAAACAAAATAAATAAAACATCTGCGTCAAAGGTAATATTACAAGTACAAACTATGGGTTATCTTATTTTACAATCTTAAAAGATGAGTGTTCTAGGCTATCGACTGTTTTCTCATTCTTAAACTCTGCCTTGGTTATGCGTGACTTGGGGCTTCCGGTGGATTTCAGCCATTCTTGCATTTCTTTCACCTGGTTTCGTGGGCCTTGTAGCTGCCCCTGAACAGTTGCGGTGCCTGTGTTTTGGATCCATCCCACCAGACCGAGCTTCCTCCCCTCAGCCTGGAAAATGAAACACGGTGGATTAAAAATAGCAGACACTGATGGAGAGTAAGGCCGTCATGGGAATATTAGTTAGATACATTGTACAGCATGGGTTGTGAACACTATAGGATTTGATCTCTTTAAGATCTCTTCATTGTATAAAGTGCAGTAATTCCTTCTAATTTTCCAATTAAACGTTTTGTGTTTTTTTTTACATTTATGTTTACAAGCTTTAATGTAAAAAATAAAAAAAACATTTTATTCCAGGTGCTTTTAGCTACATCTTGCTTCCTTCCTTAAAAAAAAATCATAATCCATGATATATTACTAAATTAACTCCACCAGCAAGACTGTGACACGCGGCTGCCAGCTCAAAGAAAAGCTAAACAATGAGATAGCAGTGATTTACTTCACACGACAGTTACACCTGTTCATGTGTAGGCTGACTTTATGATCACTGTCAAACTCACTTGAGTGTACTTCCGAAAAAACACGCCTTGCACTCTGCCAAAAATTTCATAATCCACTGAAATGAGGTCTTCGTTGCTCATAGTGTACCTGGAACAGGAGAAACAAGACAGCAGCTAGCTACGTGTTGTGTATTATTGTTAGCTACGGTATAGCTACTACAAGCTATGCTAACCTAATGCATGTTCTAACGATTTACCACCTCGATAATTAACACGTTTAGCGTATTATTCATTCCGTATGAATACAGGAAAGCTCGTTGTATGTCATATAACTCACCTTGGATGTCGTCAGGAAGCCGCGAGACGACTATCCAGCTCCAAAAGATCTCGTTTAAAACATCCGGGACTCCACTTCCGGAAGTGATCAACGGACCAATCAGACAACACCCGAGATATTTGGTTTCTAAGCAACGAGTGTAAACATTAGGAAAAAGTAGAGTAGCTTTATGTGTCGACAGATAGCTAAACACACAGTTACTTTTAATTCAGACGACATTCAAAAGGTCAGTTAAATGTTTTTATTTATTGCAAAGACTTCTAACTCTTTGCCCTTTTTATTTATGTATTTTTTGGGGTGATCTGGATAATCTAGAGACTTTTTGGATTCCTCGTCCGTCCTAAAGGTCAGCGTGACAGTTCACTCCTGACCTTAAAAACAGCAGGTGACTAGAACTCAAGGTCGACTGGTTTACATATTCTGGATAACAATCTTCATCTGCTGATTGCGTTTTGGTTGACAGAGCTCAGACTGTATGTAATTTAAAGAAAGTAATCATCTACTGTAAACGTAGTTTAATGACGACTGAGCAAATTTAATCTGTGTAATTTGGTTGAAAGCGAGTTGTCAATGGCTGATGTCAGGGTCAAGATTACATTGTCAAATTCAATCTGAAAAATAAAATGTTTTTCTCCATTTGAACAGGAGACTTATTACATGAAATGCATGCAATAACGTCTTGATTCAGTCACACTTGTGCTTTTACTTTAAATATAGTCATACACTGCAGCTGCACAGCATTTTCCTTCAATGTTTTTCTCTGTTAGCCTCACTTTTTGGATGCTTTTTTTTTTTTTCTTAGAAATTATACTGGAAAAAACCCTCAGCAGCTGGTGTGGAAGGCTCAGGTGTCTTTCACAACAAAACAACTTGAAAGACAACTGCTGAAGTCATGAGCACATACACAGGAAGAAGACACAGTGATCAAGGGCAGCCCAACACTGCAGGAAAAAGAAATGCAGATGTCTATACTGAAGCACAACATGGTGTTGTGCCTGGTAGGAGAGCAGATGCAGTAAACCAGCCATTTCCAAACAAGCCTGTCAGCCACAGAAGATCTCTCCAACCCACGAAACAAGACGCATTTGTTCCATATGATTTAGAAAAAAATACTATTACAAAACAACCAAGAGGCCATTCGTTAACCCTAGAACACCATTCAAATGGCACCGGAAAGACCAATGAGTACCAAGATCCAAGAACCGACTCAGGCGGCAGACAGCCCAGTGGAGAACTGCAGATGGCCAGAGCAATTCATGCAAAAGAGCTGGTGCTACAGGAGAAGCTGTGGCGCGTAGAGGAAAAAATAAGACAAAAGATCCAGAGAGACACTGCTGCACTTGATGACCAAAAGAGTGAAGAGCAGAGACACAACAGGGAACAAGCAGAGAGGGGAAACTACCAGAGAGAATCCAGGCTGTCTGAGCAGCAGAGGAGAGAACCAGTGAGAAGAAGAGAAGTGAAGGTGCAAGAAAGCCAAGAGGAGGATGTTAAACAACACATGAAGACACAAGATGAGGAAGAAAGAGCCAGGGGGGAAAGAAGGGAAATAGAGTCACACAAAAAAGGTCATAAAGCAACTCACCAGATCACAGTTCCTGAGCAAGAAGTGAGTGGAGAGCTGAACAAACCAAGGTGGGAAAAAGTGAAAGAGCATACCGGAAGAAAAGAAAGGGATGAAAAAAATAATGGCATTTGGGAAGATACAGGTGTGAAGTCACAGGGTGGAACAGTGAAAGCAAAAGAAAGACATCAAAATACAGCCTCAGTGGGCGATACAGGTTGGAAGAGAGAGGAAAAATATAGGGAAAGGACATGTGAGGAGACTTCTGACGATGAACAAGATATGCCTCAAATGAGCCAGCAGAAGGCTTCTCATGAAGCTGCAACAAAAGGAAGAAACCCGTCAGGAGGACCAAGGCTTCCACCACTTTCTCATCCCTCACATTCCAGCAGACCAGACCTGAGACAGGAAGAGAGCACGGACACCAGGCACCAGCTCCTTCTTTGCAAAGTTTGCAACAGAAAGTTTGCAGGCGAAAGACTACAGAAGCATGTCCAAATCTGTGAGAAAGTTAAACAATCAAAACGTGGAGTCTTCAACACCTACCTTCACAGGACCAAGGGATCTGCCTTAGAGGAGTTCTTGAAAACCAACAGCGGAGGTCCAGAGGTAGGCCAGTGATATGTGGGTCTCTTTAAAAGGGGAGCCCTACCAGTTTTACAAACAGAGGTTTATGTTAAAGCTACCCTCTTGAGTATGTTGACCACTCATACCCCTGTGGAGTATTGTTTTTAAGAGTGGGTCATTCTGTCTGCATTAAGTAAGCATTTACTGTTTTTGGGTCTTATTCAGGTTTTGAAGAAAAACAACCAAAGACAGAACCAGGGACATACAAGGAATCTGCAGAAAAGTCGGAAGGTCCCAGGTGGAACTGCACATCAGCCAAAGTGAGGAGATCAGAACTGACCCAGAAACTTCAGAGCTGAACCATTTGAACAAGAAATCCACGGCTTATCAAGTCAACCATCACCATCTCATTAGTCAGCAGAGTCTCTGCATTGTCTGATTCTAGCCCTGACACAAGTTTGGTTTCTGATCTATCGTCTACATTTCCATCATATATTCCATGTGACCTAAACAGAAGTGTCTAAGATAGTCTTGTAAAGAGCTAAAAACTAACATGATTATATTAATATCAACTAATATAAATAAATGCAGTGTATTCTATCTTTCATTGTGGAAAATATTGACGATCGAGAAAAGACAACTGTTAGTTTTATTTATGGCTTTTACACAAAGCACGAAGCAACAGCGTGACTGAGAGAAGTCTTTATACAACTGTTACATCTCCACAATGTTTGGTTAATTGTTAACAACAAATAAATCATATTTTTAGATGCCGTCAACACAGCATTTTCACATTTGCACTAATTTTGGTTTCAATAGATTTCTAAGGCACACCGACTGTATTCAACGTCACATTTTACAGCATGAAAATACTGCCAGTGTTATTCTGCTGACAGACCACTGACCACGAGGCTACTGCTTGTAAGCGAACTATGAAAAAAGGGTTTTACACACACACACACACACACACACACACACACACACAAACTACATATTTGCTTGCACGAATGATGCAAAATACGGAAACAACATTAACATAAACGACAGATACAATGGTTAAAAATGCAATAAGAAAACAGCATTATAGACGCATGGTAAGCTATATCATAAATGATTCCACATTCAAACTGTTCATACGCATCACAAAGACAGACCTACAGATGCTTCCCCATCAACAATTCAAGAGTTGAAGAAGGCAATAAAAAAGTAAACGGTTATTAAAAACAATGAAATCAGTAGTTTCGTGTTTCACACAAATACTTTCATATGATAATAAAACATGCACATGTAAAAAAAAGTATATATTTGAATAAGATCATTTTTATATAATGTTTATAATAGCTGTCACTTCTCATAAATGTGGAGAAACTGTTAAAAGCTATTCTGTATTTGGCACTTTCACTTTTTAAGAATATCGAATGAAATAAAATAATTAAAAATGATGCCAAATTGAGTTATGATCAATCTGGCCAACATCCTGGCAGCACATCGCTCAACAATTGGCAAAAGGAAAATGAATCTTTGGATGCATCAGCAAAAGCTTTCCTATTTGCATTAGATGGACTTCTTTGATATTTGATAAATACTAACATATGAGGCACTAACGACCGAAGCAGCCTCAATGCTGACATCCCTTAAAGTCAGCAACACCACCAGAACATGAACTCAACATTCACATTGCAGAGTGACACAACAATCTCTATGATTGTCTCTCACAGGGGTCAGGTGCTTCATGTTGAATCCAGCCAACATTTCAATATGTGGAGAAACTAGCTAGATTACTGCACACAGGTGAACACAGCTGTGCATATGAGAGTGTGCAAGGTATTACACAGTATTACATATGTAACAGATGGTAATAATGCAATTTAGCGTTCTGTCAAACGCGTGTAACCTCTGTGAATGGGCACGAGGCTGCAGCCTCTACTGCACGTCCAACCAAGCCTCCGATCCCCCATCTAACCAGCTGGTTTAACTTAACAGGTGCTATTCACGCTTCTCCCATAATCAGGACATCTGCAGGTAAAATCACACACTGGCCCCTGAAGATCGGCCCCCGTGGTTTGTGAATGCGCCTCCTCTTTCTCCTCCGTCCCCGGGCATTCGGGCATCAGAGGGATGGTTTCCGTTACTGTCACATCCTGCTTCCCTTTGCGCTGAACGATTGATCGCTGCCCAGAGCCTTTCGTTCTCCTTTTGCTGCTCATTGACCTACAGCCGGCAGGAATACGTGCTGTTACTCATGCACAAGGATCAAACTCAGCACTGAGGCGGACGGGCAGCTTTTTGGGGGACACATTTCTTACCTGCCTCTCGAGCATCTCGATCCTCAAATCTTGATTAGCGACCGTCTCTCGCAGCTGCAAAATAAGCTTTCTTGTCAAATACTGCGGCAATGGGATTTCATTATTAGATCATAATTTGCAGTGCTGAGTGTGCAGATTTGATACCTGTGTGACCTCGCAACTTGCTTTGCAGCATGCGCCCGTTTCTCCCTTTTTGCAGAAGTCAGCCTCCTCCAGTCCATTGACTTTATCACAGCTCATTCGTTTAGTCTGAAAAACAGTGGACATAGTGAATGCGTTTCAAAAATGCAGTATTACACGGTATGAACATCAGTACTGTGAAACTCTAGAAGTGTTTATTTGGAGTACATAACTCAGGTCTAGATAAGTGAAAGGTAATATTGGCATTACCGATAGGTCTTTCTTAGTGCCGACTGCTTCTGCTGCAGCCTTTAGCTCTTTCAACTCCTCATAGGGCAGAGTGACGCTCTCGGAGATAGAAGAGAGCTGGTCGGGAATGGATCCATCAGCGTCAACTGGTATCGGGATGAACTCTGCATTCTCAAGCTCCTGTTGGATGAAAACCTCCCTGAATTAGAACACAGCGTCTCCATTCAGAGGTTTCCGTTTTACAATTCCTTATTCCTTGGTGCTTTCAATGATAACAAACCTTTCTGAGCCAGAGAGGGCAGGAGCTGTCCCCAGTCTGACTTGTCAGTGACATCATGGGAGTCTCCATGAGGCACTCCTCCCTATTATCCTCCCGTGTACCACCAAGACCCCTGTCACGACAGTCCGTCCATGAACCAGGTTGTATGTCCAGATCCACCGTAGATGTCGATGCCTCCTGGCCCAGTCCTATACACACATAACAATGTAGACTTTCAGGACTAAATGTAGACGTATTCCTAAAGCAAGGAAAATGAATCAATACACAAATTAGTGTCCAAAGAAAAGTATATACCAATACCAACTGATAGTCCACTGCTGTTCGATCGAATAGTCTTGGAGGTGAGCACTTTCTCTGCAAAGGATAAATATATATTAGACAGCTGGCTGCTTGCACGAGTACACTGTGCAAGTGTCTGGTTGTGATTACTAACCCATGATGATAATGGTGTGCCAGCCACGGCAAGAGAGGTCCGGTACATGGTGCAGGGAACCAAAGATAGGCCTTGGCATGGCGGGGCATACCTCTGAACCAAATCCCTTATCAGCTGGCATCCCAAGTCGCCCGTTTCCTGCGTTTCCCCATGCAAATATGTGATTGTCTGCAAGGAATACAAAAACAGGTGATGATATCTCCTCAGGACCAAAGGTCAGGGGCTTCTGGGAGGAAATAAAAGTAGCACAATAAAAATAAATGTACATATTATTGCAATAGAAGCACTACAGGACTAGGCATGGTCTTACCCTCAGTGGCTGCTATGGTGAAGCCGTCTCCACAAGACACTTTGGTCATTATCTTCCCTCCAAAGGGTCCGAGAAGGAGTTGGACACCCGGGTGTTTCTTAAAGTCTTTTACACCCAGCTGTCCGTACTTGTTGCAACCAAAGGTGATCAGACGACCACGTTCTGCAAAGAGAAAAATCATGAAAAATGATGTTTCTGTGAAATGGTGGCTGACAATGTTCACTTACGTGAGAAATATTAGCCTTTTTATACGGTACCATCAATGGCAGCTGTGTGGGTCTTCCCCGGGGCTATGACCTGGATCTTGAACCTCGCCAGCTGCTTTACCAAAGTCAGTGTAGTGATGTACGGGATCCCCTGATAACCCTGGTGTGGTGTACAGAAAAAGAAACCAAACATAAACATAGCTGCATCCCCTGAAGTCTGGATGATTACAGTCCTGTATGTAGAACCCAGTACCTCTCCAGGGTGGTTTTTTAGACCAGAGATTCCCTGGTTCAGACCAAGCTTGTTGAATTCATTGTTTCCACACGCTAGGACTTTGCCAGTTTCTGTTAAAAAGAAGGTTCCATCGCTGGCACATGACACTGAGGAGATGATGGCGCCTTTAGGGATCTCCACCTGGGAAAACCAGAAAACAGACAGTACTTTGAATAGCTACAAATGGGACCATATTGCTTAAAACACTTTGTATCTTACTGACTCCTGCAAGGTTTTAGCCGCTTGACAGACATTCAAGAGCGTGCCAGAACCGGAAAGAAAATCTTACTTGCATCGGAGAAGAAAAGTCATCCTCACATTCCAGGCCGAGACGCCCTGCACCAGGAAAATAGAGCAAATCCAACTGAGAACACCTATTTTGACTGTATTTTTTTATTTATTTTTAAAAAGACCACTATCTCCACCTGCTGGCTACAACTATAACAGCAAAAACAATCTGGCAGAGGCTTACTCTGCTCAAAAACCAAAGGAAATAGAGCAACTATATGTACCATACTCTCCGCAGCCCCAGGAGTAGATGTCCCCACTCTGAGTCAGGACCGCCACATGGTTGTCTCCACATGAAACCTGACGGACAGGCCGCTCTTCGAAAAACTCCAAAAGCACGGGTTTCAAAACCTCCATGCCGAGCTCTCCCTCCACTCCAATGCAGCCGTAATAGTCTGACCCAAACATGTACATCTGGTCCTCATCTGCAAAGGCAGCAGAATGTTCAAAATGCATCTTTACAGAAAAAGTTGTTGTTTTTTTTGTAGGAAGATGTTAAAGATGTTAAAAAGATGTTAAAGGAAGGTTTTGTTACTCACCGGTGACGCAGGCAGTGAAGTCAGCCCCACACGCCACCTGTCGGATAGCCTTCCCCTGTAGCTGGTCCACCCTTGTCGGCTGCCGGTAGGAGGACTGGTCTCCCTGACCCAGCTGGCCTACCATCTTGGCTCCACCTTGGACATTCTGAAGAGAAGTTTGAGAGAGCTCCTTGTAGTGAAGCACAAGAACAACTCGAATCCAGCAAATCTCTCCCAGAGTGATGGCGAGTGGTAAATACTCACTGCCCAGGTATACAGCTCCTTTTCCACGGTCACCACTGCAAAGTGACTCTCTCCTGCACATACATGCTGGCCACTGCTGCCTCCTTTAAACGTGTCCATTTTCTGGGGGGTGAACTTGCCTCCACCCCAGAAGTACACCTCCCTTGAGCGTGTGGTCACCACAGCCACAGGGGTGTCAGTCACTGTACTCAGCCTGTGGTGCATCCAGGACATCAAGTGAGTTACATAACCACACAATCTTACTATAGACAGGCTTTTGCGCTGGAGAATATGAAACAACTGTTGACAACTTACTTTGGTTTTTTCATTGCTGAATTCAGCAGGGCAACTCGCTCTTCAAGCTCCCTTATAGAGAACAAAGTTGTCAGTGGGCTGTCATGGGTGTTTTGACTCTGTTGAATCCAACAGCATCTGAATCATTTTCAAGCAACTTACTGTCTACAGCATGAGATGAGTGGCTGGCCCAGAATCTGCTCAGCTGTAGGCCTCTTTGCGGGGTCCTTCAACACAAAAAGATCCCAAGAACTTAACAGTGGTATCCCTTCCCGAGACCAGATGTTTCCTGAGCACACAGTGTAACCTCTGGCACCAAATCGTTTATTTCACAACAATCCAACGCAACACTCTTCTCCGATTATTCCCGTCACTCACTTGATCAAGGCACTGATACACCAGTTTGATCAATGCGGACGAATACACATCCGCGTTCACATCCATGGTCCAGTTGCCCTGGACTATTTTCACACAGAGGTTCAGAGCGTTCTGGTGGACACAAGCAGCAACATTAGTAAATTCTGTAAGGGCGAAATCTAATTTTCAGATTAAAGCAAAGAATTAAAATTATTTCTAGCAAGTTAACAAACCAACCGTTGCATCGAATGTCCTTGTAAGAACCAGGACTTCAAAAATGACACAACCCATGGCCCAGATGTCTGATTTGAAGTTGTACTTTGATCCCTGGCACAATTCAGGCGACATGTAATATGGAGTTCCCACACACTGGATTTACAGAAGAAGAGTAAAGTGAAAAAAAATCCATTAATATTTATTAAATCACAGTCAGTCCGGTAAAACATTTTTTGGGGGGGGGGGGGGGGGGGGTCACAACTTACAGTCTCTGCCATTGAAAACTCAGAGTCTAGCTTCTTTGCGAGGCCGTAGTCGCCCAGCTTGATGAGGTCAGTCTTGGTCAGAAAAATGTTCAGAGATTTGATATCTCTAAAAGACAGAAATGGATGGTTCCATTACCAAAAAAAAAAAACCCACAGATACAAACAAAATAAAAAGTCCTGCAGATGTCACCAATAAGGACATGAAAATGTGCTGAATATCTCACCTGTGGAGGATCCCAGCCTTGTGAATGTAGGACACAGCTGAGGCGATTTGGTACAGGTACCAAATGACCACCTAAAGAAACACGTTAAAGGAGAAGATATAATAGAGAGCAGTCTGTTTGTTTAAAATACAGGCGCTGCAGTGGTGCACTCATACCTCTTCACTGAAAAGTTCCCCATTCTGGTGATTGATTTTATCGTACAGATTTCCTCCTGTGATGAGAAGGCCATTTAGCATTCAGCCACAGATAGACAGAATTCAAACTAATCTCAATCAAATCTTCAGAGTGGACTAAATATTTGCTTACCATTACAATACTCCAACTCAATGAGCAAGGTGTTTTTATCCATGAAGTGATTCAAGTAGGCTATGATGTTGTTGTGCTCCAGGATGGAGAGGATGCTTATCTCATTCATGACATCTCTGCGCTCCCTTTCGGAGAGGGAATTCAGCTCCACCTCCTTCCACACCACCAGAGAGTTGTCCTATAAGCCAAAGGGGACATGCCATTAATATAACAATACTATTAATAAATAGTAGTGTCCAGATTTGTTCCTGCACAGGTTTAAGTTTCTCCATGGTGCTTATTACCAGTTTACAGAATAGACAGAAAAGCAAAATATTCTGAGGTTTAGAATAAGAAAAAGAACTTGTGTGAAATAGAATCATCATGGAGCACACGTTTGATATATACGTAGTTAGTCTGTTTTCACCGAGCAGTGGTTCTAATCACTTCTGACTGCAAACCCCATTGCCAGTCCAAGAAAAAGTTGTGGGGACCATGTAAACTTAAGACACATTTCCCTTGCACTGTTGGTGAGGTAAATATGGTAAATGTAAGAAAACAGGAAAGTTATTATTGCATGGCATGAAGTGTGATCGGTGCCTTTTAAAGAAAGAAAACCCGGCTGGGACAGACAACTTACCTCTGTTCTTCGGTACAGGGTTGCTTCACCAAACGCCCCCCTTCCGAGGATCCGGATAGGAACGTAATGCAGCTTCTCCTCTTCGCCATTATATGTGCCCGACGCGGATCGCTCACTGACCACTGACCCGCCGTCCAAATCGGAATTTAGCGAGTCGAAATGTCTTTCATAGTCCCCGAGTGACATTTCTGTTTAGGGACTTGTTAGCCAGTGGCAGTGATGGAAATAACCCGAACAGGCCTAACGACAACTCTTTCTGAAAGACTCCTACTAAACCTTACACATGTCTGACATGTTTCCCGTGCAGGCGGTTAAAGAGAGATGTCAAATGATTCGTACTAAGTTACCAGATGCCTGAAAAGCCACTTAACACACACAATGTAAGAAACAAAATGAACTGAAACAACGTAGCAAAATACGTGAAAATAGTTCGAGAGCGTCAAGCGTAACGCAACAAAAACGGGGACGTTCAGTCAACTTTTTTTGAAGTTTCAGAATAAAAGTCATAGGTCCGAGAGTGCTGTCGTGTATTTTACGATGAAGGTCAACAGAGCGTATTTCCGGTAGTGGCACTAGTCTGCTCTGCTTGACTTGGCTAACGCTTTAGTTAGCATGAAGACATTGCTCTCCCGCAAATAAAACCCTGAACTGTGATGGGTTGCCACCTTAGAAGGTTCCGTAGGTCTACACAACAAGCACACGAGTTCACCAATGTTCAAAATGTCGTCTGACACGCGCCTACACAGGCAACACCCACAGGCTCGTCCATCATTTCCTTGCGCTAAAACCCGGAAACTATCAAAACGGTCCGCTCGAAGTTAAAGTGTTTCCCACATTGCTTTACTCGAGCGGCTATAATTAAAATAAAAGTCACACAAGTAGCCGACGAAATGTTGGTGTAATACACAAGCTGTCCACTATTGTATTTTGATACCAAATTATCAGAATTGATGTGGTGCATCGTGACACTATATTTACAGATCCTATGATGTGTGATATTAGTAAAATCCTGTCACTTTATGTATACTTTTACATTTAGATATATATCATTGTATGATGCATTTTCAGGAAAATCAATTTAAAAACTGTAAATGCACAAGATAGCCGGACAGGAATGTCTGTTTTAGGGCTGATCCACCAAATTAAATACCTGTCAAAGTTCACATGTCACATTTGTACAAAGATTATAATCCAATATTGTTATAACTCTGTAATTTTCATTGATTAAAAAAAGAATGCTGGCAATGGTCTTCTATCACATATATTGATGGATGTTGCATATTTGTGTCAGCTGGAGGGTTAACAAAAAGCGTTTTTTACTTTCTCCCACAACCCAGACTGAGTGACATATTAGAGGTCACCAGCACTCTGTAGATCAGTATCACAGTATCACCTGTAAAATACATTAAATAAACTTCCCATTATTTGCATTGTGAGCCTTTCCATGAGAATCTAACAGCCTAAATCTAAAAAAGAAGAGAGAGACAATAAAAAAAGACTTTCATGAGATATTTTAACATAAGAGATAGTGTGTAAAGGGGACTCAACCACCTACACACACACACACACACACGCACACACACACACACACACACACACACACACACACATAGTGTTGTACTATTGACAGAGCAGCCATCTCACACAGATAAAAGTGGCATGCAGAGAGGAATACTGAGTAAAAACCAGATGGATATCCAGACAATGATTTCAAATGATGACAACAGCACAGATGGAAAATCCTTACATCATAACACAGGGAATAATGGTAGGCTGGCATAATTTAAACCGTTCAGAAAATACGATGCATTATTATCCTTCACTTCGAACTTACATCAAAGTGTCTGTTTGTTCAGGATCTATGTGCACAGTCAGAGTTGGGTCCAGAAGTCTTCCACTGTATCCATTGGTGGCCGTGTGTTTAGGACTGCTAAACGCTGTACTGATGTTATCGGCTATTGTTATTGGTATTTACTGTGAGTACAACTGATCCAAGGGAGTACACTTCACTTGTTTACAGTCAGTTTGGAGTATACTGTACTAAACAATTCATTAGCTAAGCTATGGACATAATTATCAAGCTTAGGTAGTTAACTATATTTACCCTTTCAATTCCCAATGCTATGACTTGGTAAATACATACACAATTATAACTATTTCTTTGTTAATCACCGATAAGATGAATGTGAAAAGTTACCTTCTTATATCTGCTAATCACAGGTGGCAAAGTAAGTGGGGAATCCACCTCCGACCAAATAACAGCACAAGCCCTCATCATAGAGGTGAAGCAAATTCAGATAATGCACACTGAAGCGATCAATGCTCAAGAAGAGGTCCGACACACATTAGAGACAGAGCTGGGGAACCATCAGCAACTGAAACTGCAGTTGGAGCAGATCAAGGCACTCAGCGATGGCCTTCAGGGGCAGATTGAGAGACTACAAATGGAGAAAGCAACACTGAAGGCCAATTCATCTGATATTCGTGAGAGGCTAATAATGCATACGTTTGTTTTTGCATTTTGGAATCAAACTTTTTCTTCTTGTTGTGACTTTAACTCATGTTCTTCTTTGAACAGTGAAAAGTTGTGGACGATGCCAGTCAGGATGGCTTTTATTTAACACATCATGCTACTTCCATTCTGTATTCCAACCCTCAAAGAGCTGGCAAGACAGCAGGGCGGACTGTATCAGGCGTGGGGCCGATCTGGCTGTGATTAATAGCTTGGAGGAGCAGGTGAGTCCAGTATCAAGTAGGTGGAAAACAAGAGAAAAAAGAGTGGGTAGAGTAGTTCCTGATGTTTTGATTTACACTAGTAGGCCTATTATACAGTAGATAATGCAACGGCAGTGTTAAGAAGACAAGTTATTCTAGTTTGGCCCACTATGTTGGCCTGCTTACCAACACTGTCACGTGACAGTTGCACTGGAAACATGGAGGAAATTAAGATAATTTAAGTAGCATAAAGAAGAAATTTCTGATACTAAGAGCATCACAGCCTAAAATTACAGAACATAAACCAAAATGTTGGAATAAGATAAATAGTCCCTCTAGCTTTGTTTAATTTGGTCTGGCTCAAGTGACTCACCGTTCTTGTCCTCAGTGTGTGATGTGCTAGCCAACCATTGCATGCAATCCGCACCACAAACAGAGACCGGACTCACCGGAGGCATTTCAAAGAGAGTGGAGAGTCGTGGAGAAGTTTAGCAAGGTTAACCGAAAAATCAACACAAAATGAAAGTCTCTTGTAGTTACTTTGAAGTTGTTGTTTTTTAAAACAATCATTTACATCTTTCTTGACACGATTAATCAAGGTCCACTTTTTTAGTTTTTTTCCCCAGAGCTTTCAAACACACTGTCATCAGTAGCAGATTTGATTAAAGCTCAGTTGTCAGAAGAACAACAACGCTTAAGAGACTCTAAAAGTAAAGGCCCTTTTCACAACAGACATTCTGACTTGTCATAGCAGGTAAAACACAAGCTTATCGAATTCCATTCATGGTGGCTCTGTTCCACACAACAGAGTACTAGTGATGCACAATGTCAGGAGTCTGGAACTGGCTCACTTTAACATATTGCAGCCATAACATCCATGTTATTCCTAACATGTGAAATGATCTGCTTTGAAACAGCATGAGCTGTTGAAAATGTCAGGTTAGTTTGTGAAAGCTAATGTTTTTTGAGTCAAGATCACTTCAGCATCTCATCAGTTGCTATAGGCCTGCACTGCTATTACATATGGTAAAGGTATACCTTTATCAACAAATTGTGATGCTGTTTAAACTCTGTTTACAGGTAAATCTTTTTGAGTACCTACCTAAACGGGCTGTGGGCATTGGACCATGGTGGAACGGACCAGGGGGCATTTGGATCGGCCTTACTGTTATTCAAACGGAGCACAATTGGGTGTGGGTAAATAATGTGACTCTGCAGAATGAAGGGTAAGAGCTTTGAGACTTATTATGCAGTGCTGCTGTGTTAAAATTAATCATGTGACATTTTGGAATACGCTTATTCCCTTTGTTGTTGTGAGTTCGATGATCCATGAGTCATTAACTCTCTGCAAAAAAGCAAATTAGCTTAATTCCCTAAATGTCACACTATTCCGTTAGGATCAGACAGGTTAATGTATAGTTCATGAAATGATCATAAACTTTGGAAAGAATTCTCAGGATAGTTGTTAAATTAGGTCAAGTAGCCTCTTCCTGTGTATTCAATAAGGACAATTTGAAAGAGATTCATATATATGTGAATGAACTAGGTTTGGTGTATTAAAGTTGACAAATCAAATTCTTAATTGGGGACATGTTAATGCCTGCAATGTTAATCTGTTGACTGAATTTAAATCAGAGAGAGAGAGTGGGAGAGAGATTATTATTATGATTATTCTAAAGTATAACTTGGGCCTTGGTTTAGGTACTGGATAGACGGGGAACCCAACAACCATGGAAGCGAACCAGAGGGTGAGGACTGTGCAGCACTTATGAACAGGAGAAACCCTAAGGCAACATGGTATGATGCAAAATGCCAAGATAAGAAGGAATGGTTATGTGAAATGGAACTCAACTAGCTGCGGAGAGCATGGTGGTCCGAATCCAGGCAAAGAGAAGAGAAGGAACAGATATTTTCCATATCAGGATTTGTATCTCAAGATTAACAACCCTAGCTTTAACTGATCAAACTCTCAGCAAGAAAGTTAATTAGTGCATTCTCAAATGTATTCTCAAAATGTCTGACTATTCTTTTATCAAACATGTTGTGCAGAAGGCTTTCGCTACACGTTCCAACAGTACTGTGCTTGGAAAGCCTTCTTTTATGTTCCTTCTTCATGGAATACCTCCTGCAGCTCAACACCGTGGTATCCCTGGATAGTTTTAAAAGACCTCATTAATGGCATTATCAATGTTTTATGGAGTGATGCTCTGGAATAACACATTGATTATTTTGATTAATCCTTGATTCATAAAACAGATGTTTTTATTCTCAGTAATGATACTTTTCTGTTGTCATACATTCTTTTGTTCCTACTAAGTTCTAACTGTTGTTTTGACTTTAGCCGTGCAGCAGCAGTCAGTGCCCCACTTTGAAATATATATTATCTGTCTATGGACGGATGGCATGACAGTCTTTACAGACATCATGATCCCAAAAGGATCCCAATGACTTTTGTGATCCCGACTTTTCCTCCAGTGCCACCATGAAGTCAAAATGTGTCATTGACATTCCCATCAACCTCAGCGCTACTTTGCATTTTGGTATTAAAGTTCATGTTTACATGCTAAACTAAGTTGGTGAATATGGTGAACATTATACCCGCTAAACAGCAGCATGTTAGCATGCTGATGTTGACATGTTTAGCTTGACATACAGTACATGTATATACTAAGCTCTGGTTCCTCAATGTGTTCTTTCTGACATTAAATAAAGGTTGAGTGAATGAATTACATTCTTGTGAGTGTACTGCTTTGGAGAAGTTACGCTAATTTTACAGATGTTGTGTCAGTGAAAACTTAAGTTTCTGTATGAAGCTGGAACAATAAATTAAGAATCTCTCTTTCTAAACAACACTGAGACATGTGGGCAGCAGGTGGTGCACATAAGTTGTTCATGGCATCTATACGATCGATAACATTCTGTCACAACTCAGACTTCATTAAATCACCTTGTCATTCCAGCTAAAGGTAGTGCTTTCCAATCTGAACATACTGGTTTAAAACCAGTGATGGCTTTAGCTAATGGCAGTCAGCTAGACAAGCACCTAAAATAACAAGAAAGATTAAGTTTTCCAAGAGACAATTTCACATATGAGAGAGGATAGCAGGAACGTACGCACACATATAGGCCTACACACAGTTTTGTAATATTGCAGAGCATCCACTTCACACAAACATTTACCAAGCTTAAATAATGAAGTGTTATTATCCATTCTACACCTACGCCTGATGCAGAATATGTCTTTCTGAATATCACCTAAACCCGAGCACCAACGACCTTCCTGCCACAATTCCTACCAGCTGCTTCCACAGTGGAAGCTTTGAAAATGGTCGACTTGGATTTTAGGTACAAAAAATGAAGTGCTGGCGGACAGTTGCCTCAGCCAGACGTTCAGGTGGTGATCAGCTGACAGCTCTGATCCTCTCTTCATCCGAGGGTCCAAGACATACGGCCGCAGATCTGATGATACAACAAGTCGGTCATCGATCTTTGACCTAGGCTAGGGTGTTCTGGCACAAAGTCAAATACCTGCAAAACTACTGACATGCCCGTCAGCCTCAGCTGGACTTCATATTCAGTGCTGGCAGCAAATGTTCGCACACTAAGATGATGACCATAATAAAGATTATCTGCAAGACATTAGAATGTTAGCATCGTCATTGTGAGCGCTGAGCTTGTTAGCATGCAGACGTTTAGCTCAAAGCACTGTGCCTCAGTAAAACCCCACGTAGATGCTAGCATGGCTGTGGTGTTGTTCTTGTTAGATTAAAGCAGAAAACAGCAACGTGAGAATTGAAAAGACCGTATACTGATCTACTTCAACACCACATCAGTGCAACACATCTGTGCAGTTCTGAAATAAGATACATGCACACCACAAACACACACACACACACACACACACACACACACGCACACACACACACACACACACACACATACTCCTTATCACTGGTATAAGCAGGAGACAAAGATCAATAGGCTCCACTTGCACCATAATGGAGAACTCACAGTCACAGTCAGAACCAAGGGAGGAATTGTCTTTTCAACAAAATATTTCTCAAGATTTCAACAGAGATGGGCATTCGGGCTTTCACCATCAAACATTTGGACAAGGTACAACTAACTTGCAACTAAACAAAAAACTACTTCTACAGACTTCTGACCAATGTCCTCTTTTGTTTCTCTTGTTTCTCTCTCGAAAATGACTCACTGTAACTTTAGGTCTTTCTGTGACTTAGATTTGAAATGTATGTATGAAACTGTTAAAGATAATCTTCAGATATATTCCATGGTTTCAAAACTCAGAACGTGATGATTTTAACTCTATAATCATATCCATTAATTTCGATGTAAGCTATTAGAAGGTCACTATGATATTGCTCTTAATTGTATTGTGTGGTTCTAACTGAAGATGAAATATAATATTAAGAGTTTACCTTAGAGGAACTTATGGTCTGTGTACAGAGCGAGGTGGATCTGTGTTTCCACACCACCGACTGGTTATGCTCAGCCTGGGCCTGCTGAATGCTGTTCTGCTGATAACTGCTGTTGTAATTGGGATTTACTGTAAGTATGAGAGACAAAAAACAGCCCATTCCCTGATTCTGTCGTCCTCTTCTTTAGAATTTGAATCAAATAGCCGAAATGGCATTGCACAATCCCAAAATATGTATTCACAATCATATAGAAATTAGTTGAATTCTCAATTTATTTTCTCAAGTATGAATATCTTTCATTGGTTAATACGCTGTATTATGTTAAAATGTCCAACTTTACCAGCTAATTTCCCCGTTCATTTAAAGTTAGGCATAATTGTGGGTGCCGTACCAGGTCGCTAGCTGCTAACTGTCTGCTCCGCCTCTGCTTCACCCACAATCCACCTCTTTGCCCATTTTTTTAAATTAGCCAGGAGTTAGGCTGTGTTGTCACTGCCAAGATGGCGACAGACAGAGCTACCCACATTGAGACTACGTCCATATTTTATACAGTCTATGGATTGGATTCAGCCATATTGCCATACATTACGATGGTACGATACTATAGGGCTATAACTAATTCACATTTTTATATTATTAATATTAACAATTAGGCTGCCAAATACTTTGTCGATTAATTGACTTATATTTTGGTCTGTAAAATGTCACAAAATAGAGAAAAATGACCATCATAATTTCCCAGAGCCCAAAGCGACCTCTTCAAACAGTCAGTACCACAGTAGTTCACACACACCTGTGTTACCACGGTTTCTCTATATGTTCTTATTATTATTATCTTTATGCCTCAGGTGCCAAAAGCGATTACCTTCAGGCTCGTCATTCAGCTACTACACCCATCATCATAGAGATGAACTATCTCCGCAACAACAGTGATATCCTCAGAGCTACGGTGGAGGCCCGGGCACAATTAGCGAGAGAGCGCAGCAACCATCTGCAACTAAAGCTGCAAATGAAGGAGATGATACCCCTCACTGACAGCCTTCAGAGACAGATTGAGACTCTACAGACAGAGAAGACAAGTCTGCAGTCTAATAAAACTACCTATGGTAAGACAGACTTCCAACCTATCTTTGGTGGCAAACACTCCAGTGTGTTTACAAAGGTCAAACATTCTCCCCCACATGCTGTAAACCTGTAAAATGTATGTATTTGTTATGCATCATAGGAATTCTTTGAGAATATTAAAAAACTGTCTATGACAAGAAATGGTATTTCCAATCTGCTGTTTTTACACAGAGGAATCTTGTGGCAGATGCCTTCAAGGATGGAGGCTTCTTAAATCAACCTGCTATTATTTTTCTCACCATCTGCCCAACCCCAAAAAGAACTGGCCGGATAGCAGAGCACACTGTATAAGTCAAGGGGGCGACCTACTTGTGCTCAGTAACTTGGCAGAGCAGGTGGGTTTCCACCACTGAAATCGAAAAAAATAGTTGTAGTGTATCTCAGAATTCAAAAATACTAATTTCATTTTATGTCTCCTGGTTTTGAAGTTCCATAAAGTTAATTTTTCATGGCTCTGTTTAGTATCGTGAGATAAAATGTGGTGTTCGTGTCCAAACCATTATTCATCTCCTGTGTCGGCTTTCTTTCAGCAACTCATATCTGATAACTCTGAAAGGCTGAGAATGTCGCGGCAAAACAGATTTTGGATCGGCCTCACTGATGCAGTGACACCGGGAACATGGGTTTGGGTTAACAATGTGACTGAGGTGGAAACAAGGTAAGCTTCTCACAGACTGTGAACGCCTGCTATTGGTTTCTAAAATAGTGGAACTACGTTTTAATCTGAATAATTTTGATTTTCTCAAGGTACTGGAAAAGAGGGCAGCCTTCCATTGATGGACTTCTGAGTGGGAACTGTGCTGCTTTTTATTACTTTAATGTGGATAGGGGGTCATGGGTTAGTGGGAACTGTCTTGACCATCTATATAACTGGGTTTGTGAAAAGGAGCCAAACTAAACATGAAGCCTCTCAAGTGTAAATCAGAACAACTGGACAAATCTTTTGTGTAAACATAATATGTCCTGTTTCATATACAAGAAGAAATGTCAGCCATGGAATGATTTTATGAAATCCTACAAAATTGTACCTAAGTGATACCTAAATAATCTTATAAAGTTTGGATGTTTGAATGAATTAGAAATCCTTTTGATCAGAAAATGACACTGCACTTCAGATCACCTGCAGCCCCTGTAAATATTTAACAAATTATCCGGGTTTTCTGTTTGTAATGTTACACACACCCCTACACACAGGGCAAGGTCCTAACAAATAATCTGTCTGCGACGGTCACGTCAGACTCATTTTAACTGTCAAAATGGAGGAAGGAGAAAATTCAGGTGGTACTTTTGATGGTTCATATAACAAACTGATTTATCAAGAGGACTTCAGTGAAGATTATAACACTCTCTACTCAAACCAAGAGAAGCAACAAGGTATGGTACATGACTATTGAATAAATGAGAATGTTATATCTGTTCTTTAAGATACTGGTACCACATTCTAAAGTACTACTGGAAACACATCCCTGTGGTATTTCTATGGTATTTTAACATTTTTTAAATCATTGTATAACTCAACTATTGAATATTATTATTACAATATGCAGATACAGAGACAAGTGAAAAGAAAAAAACGACATAAAGTGTCTCATTTGGTTTTCATTTACCTTTGTCAACTGTCTGTCTGTTATTTCTATTATATTGAATTGTTGGTATATTGTCGCAGTTTATGGCTCTGCTATTGACCCACCATGTCTCTGTGTAGTGTCCATGTCGATGGTGAGACCTGGATTTCCTTTAAATCATCACAAACTGCTTACAGTAGGCCTGGCAGTGCTCGCTGTCATTCTACTAGCAGTTGACGTTGGCCTGGGAGTCTATTGTAAGTCACTATTAACCTCCTCAGATAGTTATATAGTTATGTGGTGACAGCTCAAATTCCTTGTAGGCCCTATGTGAACACTAAATAAATGTGATTCTGATAACAAGTAAAGGTCCTGCATTCAAAATCGTACTCAAGTTCAATTTCAAAAGTATTAACACCGAAATATACTCAAAGTACTAAAAGTAAAAGTACCTATTATGTACATGCGTTCATCCCTTTAGTCAGTCACTTTTAATGTTGCAGCTAGTGAAGTGGAGCTAATTTTAGTTACTTTACTTATACACTGGCGGGCAACTTAACCTACAATAATATATTATAATGATTCATTAGATGGTTTATATTTTGTATTATTAATCTGAATCCTCAAAGTAACTCAAACTAAGTAGAAAGTATATTTGCCTCCAAACTGTAAAGTATAAAGTTGCATAAAACAGAAATACTCAAGTAAAGTACAAGTCCCTCAAAATTGTTGTTTGAATATACTTAATAATAACTTTAACAATAATAAGTTGACTTCAAGGTCAAAAGTAGAGTAAATCTTTAAGTAACAAAAGGAAAGTCAACAAAAAAGGGAACATTATTGAAAGTTTGACTGTTTTCGTTCACTCACAACTAACTATTGTCCGGCACTGAATAGCAGAGACAGAAGTCAAAGCGTAAGAGTTAGCTTCCCTCAGGAGTTGACAGAGACCAAAACACAGATGGACTTGGCTACATTCATTAAATGGACACAAACACAACTGTAAATCAATACTAATGCTACTCCCCGTGTGCTAGCAACCATTTGCTAACACGGTGGCCATGTCATCTTTATGAGGGGCCTAGCCTGGTTACAGCTTGTTTCTACTGCCCCCAAGTGACACAAAGATAAAGATGAAAATCAGTAGATGCAGGTTTATTTATGAAAGTCAGACCCATTAATATATCTATAAAGATGTTATAAATGCACCTATGATGTTAATACTGTGGGCTATATAAATATTTTTCATTTCACTTTTTTCTGCTCATACACACTGTGCTCATGTTTGACTTATTAATGTGTTTTTTTTTTAACTTGAGAAACACTCTGGCTTGACCACTTACAGATAACAAACTAACTGATGGGCAGGGTACAGCGGACATCAGTAATGAGGTGGCCAAACTGCAGGCTTCTTACGACACTGCAATCCAAAGCAGGGATGAAGCCAAGAAACAGCTGGCAAGCGAGATCAGTGATCAGCAACTTACCAAATGGGAGATGGAGCACCAGAGTACAAGAAGCAAATACTATGAAAAGCTGAGTGACAAAATTCAAATGGAAATGTCAGCGTTGAAGTCACACATCCCGATGATTAGTGAGAGCTTCTTTTACACATTTTTTTTGTGTTATCAAGGTTTAAAAACATAATTATTGTGACTCAAACAACAACACATCATGTTTCCTTTTTCTTTGGCAACAGAGGAGGGCTGCAGACATTGTTTACCAGGATGGACTTTCCTGAACTCAGCGTGTTACTACTTTGCATTTTCTGATGATATTTCAAGTAAATCATGGCACGAAGCCAGAGGGTTCTGCAAATTCCTAGGAGGTGACTTGGCAGTGACAGACAGCAGAGAGAAACATGTAAGAAATTGATATTTCTGAACAAACTCTGCAATTCAATTATTGTAATTCTCTTTTATAACGCTTTATATTCAATATCTGAGCTGTAAAAGAGGTCAATGTAATATAGAACCCAACAAGAGAAATGAATGTACTGTACGTGTATCAGAGGGGAAAGGAGTATTCACAGCCTTTACTTAAGTGAAAGTACTAGTACCACACGGGTGAAATACTCCACAACAGGTAAAAGTCCTGCATTCAAAAACACACTTAAGTAAAATGATGTATTAGCAGCAAAATTACCTTTAAGTATGACGTAAAGTATTCATTGAGAAGTCAAATGTTCTCTGTCAGTATTTTACTACTACAGTATATATATATATGATGTTTTTGAATTAATATTACTGCTGCAATAATGTGTATGTTTCATTTTGATGTAGATGTTTACGGTTGTGACACCTTGTTATACATTTAGGTAGTTTAATCTACAGCAATGCTTAATCTGTTAATCTTAATAATCTAACCCTGACCTGTGAGAACCACGTATCTCTAAAAAGTTGAGAAAAACAGCTGTTTTCAGATTTTGCAACGATGAATTTTCCAGCTGATCCAAGAGGATTTAAATAGTTTATTTGACTCAAGAATAATTTTCTCAACACATAAAAGAACACTTCATCTTTCATTTTATCAAAAACATTTACAAATTAACCGATCTGGAGATACGTGATGTCCTCTGTGTAGGAAAGGTGAACAACTGCAATCTGTAATGTAACTTAAGTAGTGGAGCATAAGTACAATATTTTCCTCTGAGATGTAGTGGAGTGGAAGTATAAAGTAGTAATAACATGGAAATACTCAAGTAAAGTAAGTCCCTCAAATTTACAGCACTTGAGTAAATTAGTTACATTCCCCCACTGACATGTATGTGTGTGTTTTTATATTTTCGGGCTTGGCAGCTGGCATTAATTGACTTGATAAATAAATATCAAGTGCCTGCAAGGTCCATAGATTACCGCAGGGGCTTCTGGATCGGATTGACAGATGTGGAGGTGGAAGGGACTTGGAAATGGCTGGATGGAACAAGACTGACTGAGGGGTAACAGTTACATACGCGTAGATACAGAAAAAATGCAAGAGATAATTATTTGGAATCAAATATTGCGATTGTAGGAACTGTTGTGATAGCATATTCTCATAATTACAGCTGTGGAAATAATCCATTTGTAATACCACTCTTCAAAACCAATAAACAATTGATGATGTGTTCAGACATATAGATATTATAGCTCACCAACCTATCATTTGTTTCAGGTACTGGAATGATGGAGAGCCCAACGATCAGGGTAATGAGGACTGTGCAGCGATGTATCCCAGAAACAACCCCTTTCAGGCCTGGAATGATGCTCCGTGCAGGCATGAACTCAAATGGATTTGCCAGAGAACACCAAGGTCTGCGAGTTAATGTGATATTTTAAAATCACATTTAGTTTTCAATTAATTGTTTGAATGAAGAATTAACTTGGTTTTAAGGACTTTTACATCTCTTTTTATTGTCATGTGAATATTTGTTGAGACTTCAAAATGGCAGGGAAGGTCAAAATACCAAAAATACATTTGATTTATGAAATGAACTACAAAATGATCCTGTAATAAATAATGTTACTATGTACATATGAATTGCTACTATACAGATCTGTACACTAGGGTACCAGTTTATCAGGAAAACCCCTGGCTTCACGTACATTGTACATTCCTACAAGTCATATGTTGCGTGACATAGCAACACGTAAAGTGTCAGTTAGCATTGAGTTGTTAAGTTAAGATTGCAGATGTCACAAACATTTATCATTATGGGGAATGATGAATGAAGTTTGAGTTAACTTAACCACCGGAGCTTATTCCCAAAACAGCTGTCAGCTATTGTGTGTACGTATCATTTGATAAATAAACACAAATCAAAACTCATGACCATTTGTTGATTTCCATGTCTAACTTACCTGCCGATCTCATTTGTCAAATAGGTTTTAGTGAAGTGTTTGTTTCCGTCATCGTTTCTAGAAAGAGACTTTGCTGTTGAGTTTTTCAAATCAATTTTTTGATTTGTCCCATTATATTGGAGCAGAATTAGACATCTCTACGGCTGATATCTCCAACACTCTGCAACTCACAACACAACAATCTAGATTAATAAACAGCACAGAGGTAAGAGAAAAAAACATATTGTCCCTTTAATAATTTGATTTGAAAGATTAATTCCATTTATTTAACTGAGGCTTTTATCCAAAGTGATCCAAGAATCACTAAAATACATCAACTGCTTCAAGTGCACCTAGAGCCAATAAGAGAGAGAGAGAGAGAGAGAGAGAGAGAGAGAGAGAGAGAGAGAGAGAGAGAGAGAGAGAGAAAAGGGTTTGTTGGTGTTTGTTTGTAATCACAGTCACCAGCTGCTACCTGAAGCTCTGCAGAGCCACAGAAACTCACTGCAGTCATCAGAGCGGAGGCCACAAGCTGTTAATCACCACTAAAACTATGAGCCATGCTGTTATCTACAGGCCTGTTGTCATCAGCAGGTTGAAGTCGTAAAACCACAGAGATAAGAGACCATGATCACCGTCCCCGGGTGGTTTCAACATTAAAACATACTGTTCAGAAAGGGTGTAATTATACATGACGATCAATAATGTGAGTTGTCTTAATGCCACAGGAAGTCAAATAGTTGCTATCAGCTCAGAAAAAAACAACATTTTGGGAAACAAAACAAAAGTTATCACAAATGGAAAGTTAGAGTTTGTATCTGCACCTGTAATCCACTATTCACTGAATAACTGTTATCCCACAAAAAAGCATCGCAAAGAGTATTAGCTCCGTCCATATGTCTATTTTATTATTATCTTTATTTTAGTTTTATTATTAAATTGAGGAAATACTCACAGCCCAAGTTTACTGTAACTGCATAGTAAGAAATCCCCATACACATCAACAGGGACAGAAATCTAACAAGGTAGCTGTCATAGAGAAAACACATTGAAAAGTTTAATTTCATGATTGTTTTCTTTCTCTGTAAGCACTTCATAAAAATGAACATAGTTATATGTAGCTATTTAAAATCTGGATTTCATTTATATCAATGAAATAAAAGCAAAAACATTGATGAAGTTATATATTTCATACAGCATCCAACATACATTTTGAGGTTACCCATGGCCGGTGAAGACATTAACATTAGTCTGAAGACATTTCCCACCTTCAGTTATGTGCTGTATGGCTCCTTTATCTTATAGTACAAAAAATACAAAACTATTTGAACATGCAGGCTCTAGGGAAGTTGTAAGTGCATTGGTTTGTCAGGATTATTTCAGCAAGCAAACTGCACATTAGTCAGATAATTTATAGATTATTGTGTTAACAATATTGTGTGTCAGTTTTATTTACACGTGTAGCTGAGACATGAAGATGTAATTTGCTGTCTTATTTTGGAGGAGTCTACTTCCTGTAGAGTCCAACAGCGTTCAATGCAATGTGATGCACAAAGAAGAGTAAGAGTTGATTTAATAGTTGTTGTTTTTTCACATTTGTGTGTGAAGTGTGACCAAAGAGACATGGAGTCAAGTGCCTCTGTGACGCACATTAAATGTATGGTCACATTTTTGTTTATTTGATTAATATTTGATACGACGAATTTTGATGATTTTCGTAATCATAATAAAACTTCCCCAGAAGTGTATGTCTACATATGGCCAGTAGGTGGCAGTGCAGCGCTGTGGTTTCACCTTGTGACCTTTGACTTGTATGTGCGCGTGCAGCAGCGTCTTCTCATAGCTCGAGGAGACGTTAAATAAGAGAAGCCACGTGTTTGCTTGCCTCATACTTTTTCCTGTTTTTCCCAGGTTAGTTACATGTAAAGTGCGCCAAATGCGATGTATAAATTGGGGACCAATGTGTACTGAACATTTTTGAAGATTATTTTGGGTTAATGTAGTTGTTTAGTAGCTACGTGAGTATTGTTTTAAGACTGACTGTCGAGTGCTAACCTAGCTAAACTGGTAATAGCCTCGCAGTACTATAGTCTCTAGTTTTTTCTGGCTCCTACACATCGTATTATTTATTCATAATGAAGCAAATCAGCTCTCTATGTTCTAATAAGTCGTTTCATGCTAAATATGTTAATTATATGTGACTGAAATATATATATATAAGTGTTGTGCATGTTAGTTAGCACGTGTTAGCGGTTCGCTATACCAATAAAGCCTCTACTTCTGGGTCAATGTTGATGAAATCGGCAGTGATGTCGTTTACTGGATGTCCAAGGAGCCAATGTCATCACCAAAGGTTTCTTCCTCAGGACTCACTTCAGTGTTCACGCTGCATGCCAGGCTGGGTCGAGCACGCTTCACATGTCTCAGATAACAGAGAAGTGGGAAAAGTGATGTTTACTGGAGGCCAATGTCATCGCCTCCTGGGACAAAGACCAGTCGGCACAGGACTGTTGCCATTGTCCACATTTGTAAATATTAACATGTTTTGTTCTCTGTAAAATAAATGATCAGTTCTTCTACAGAATGGACTTTGTAATGTATTTCTTATGGAATAATCACTTTGGAAATCAAGTGATCTACTTTTTTAACTGCCTGGATTAATTAAGCCAAACGGTGGCGCTATCGGTCTTTAAAAAAATTCTCCTTCAGCATCTAGCAAAATATGTTTTATTGATTGGTCGAACACTCTCTGGCTAGATTTCTAAAATGTTTCTAAACATTGGTTGATGTGGTGGTTTCTCTGTGGAACCAGCTGATGGGGAAGAAGCAGCTATGCAGAAGGCTGCTACAAACACTGATGGGGTATCTAAAGAAAAACATCACTGAAGCCTTTCTGTTCAGATAACTGTCAAATGTAATCACAGATCTCACATAACTTCCCACAATCCTTAGCTCGCTCTTGGGGTGTCAACAAGAGCTTATCTGGTTTGTTACAAAGAGCAGGAAATGAATACACTTGAAACGCTATCTCTGCCCTTTTCTACACACTTTGTGCACAAGTTAAATGTGCTAAATTATACCTGCATCTCATCTGATTCAGTCAGTAGACAAACCTAACTATCATCTATTAACATGAACGCTATCTTAAGTGTGAAATTAAGTGATTTTCCTGCTTCTATTACGTCTCTCTGGACTTCCTGAGTCACACGGACCTCACCCAAAACACCTCACCAAGAGCAGCAGTGACTCAGTGAGGGATGCCTTTCTGCCAGATGTGTGAGGCCTGCTGATGGCCACATGTCCAAACTGTGAGCTCACTGCTTGACATCTGACCACTCATTCATGTCAAAGCAGCAGCTGGTGACCTGTGTGGTGTTGTCATATAAGCAGTTTTGTGATTAATTGTTTGAATGAAGAATTAACTTTTGGTTTTAAGGACTTTTACATCTCTTTTATTGTCATGTCAATATTTGTTGAGACTTCAAAATGGCAGGGAAGGTGAAAATACCAAAAATACATTTGATTTATGAAATTAACTACAAAATGATCCTGTAATAAATAATGTTACTATGTACATTTTAATTGCAACTATACAGATCTATACACTAGCGTACCAGTTTATCAGGAAAACACCCAGCTTCACGTACATTCTTAAAAGTCATATGTTGCGTGACAAAGCAACACGTAAAGTGTCAGTTAGCATTGAGTTGTTAAGTTAAGATTGCAGATGTCACAAACATTTATCATTATGGGGAATGATAAAGAAGTTTGAGTTAACTTAACCACCGGAGCTTATTCCCAAAACAGCTGTCAGCTATTGTGTGTACGTATCATTCGATAAATAAACACAAATCAAAACTAATGACCATTTGTTGATTTCCATTTCTAACTTACCCGCCGATCTCATTTGTCATAACTTGTTGTTCCGGAGTCTCATGGCCACCACTGCAGTGCAACATGTCTTATCTTTAACTACCGCCTTATTCAAACCACACCTTGCTTTCCAAGCATGCTGGTCGGACGCTCACAGCACCGCAAAGTGCTGCCGAAGTTGCTTCAGAAGCTGCTGAGTGTCGACGTGCTCCGGGAAGGAGTCCTCCGACTTTTGGGCGGCAGTGTAGCTGCTTTGAAGGTCTCCGATCTGCAAAACAGACAAGATCATCACATCGGTAGATGTTTCTCTTAAACTACTGCACTGTTCAGACATTTAGATAAAATAAATAGTGACAAATTACCTTTTCAGAGAGAATGGAGAGATTGAAGTGTGGCTCGTACATGTGAGGGGCCAGTGATGCGGCCGTCTGCAGGAAGGCTTTAGACTGGATCACAGACAGGACAAGCATTAGTCATGTCGACATTATACCGAGTATATCGAGTTGCACCCGAGGAACGGGCATCTTAAATCAGCTGAGACATCATTCAGCCAACTAATTAGCTCAGTGGTAGTTTAAGTTAAGTTTGCGCCGCGTTTGGTGCGAACACAGCATTAGTGATTCATTGGACAGAGCACATCAACAAGCCTTCATTATATAATTCAAGTAGACTTTCAAGGCAACTAAAAGACTAAAACAATGTGCACTTCATGTGTGGTTTGACATCCAAACATCCCCAACAAAATGTTAGTTGTGCACATAACTCCATTATCCAAAAACACACCTGTTTATTATCCCTGCACTTTCAGCTTTTGCATGACTTCTGTTAGCACAGCAGCAAACCGACTTCCAGCTGATGGCTGAATACTGTATCGCACCAACACTTTCAAACAATCGATTCTGTACTGGGTCTTAATACATGCTATATTTAAGTTTAACAACAATAATGCCTCGAGGTTAATGGTTCTTAAATAATGTCTTAAAGCACCAATATGATCGAATTCCTCATATTTAAACAGTGGCATAAAAGTTACACGACTCAAAGGCATATTTTCACCTGTTCGATACGACCTTTGCGCAGCTCCAGCACAGCCAGGTTGTTGTAGGCCTCCGCGTGGTCGTTATTAAAAGCCAACGCCAGTTTAAAACACTGGTAGGCCAGTGTCAACTCTCCTATGCCCTGTAAACACAGAACACATGCTCTTTGTTACCAATGTACGTATCCGTTGTAAGCTTGTGAGCTCTACTTTCTTTCATCACCGACATTCGGCGATACTTTTGGGGATTGTGAACTCACCACAGCCACATGTCCTATGTTGTACCACACATCCGCCTGCTCTTGGTCATTGGCCACCAGGGCCTGAGCCCTCTCAAACGAGGACAGAGTCATGTCGTACTGCTGCGCGTAGAAGCAGCACAAGCCCAGGTTGTTGTACAGCTGGCAGTTATACACCCCCATCTGAAGTAGCCGTCTAGCATTGGGAGAAATATTATTGAATCACTGATGGGATATAATCTCTCATAACAATACATTATACAAATGTGTATCTGACCGGTAGAAGCGCAGGGCGATCTCAGGCTGATCCGTGTAGAAGTGATTGCTGCCTATACAGGCTATAGCCTCCACGTGGGTGTTGTCCTGCTTCAGCACATCTTTGTAATACTCTGTGGCTGATGAGATGTTGTTCATCTCCTGTGGCAATATCACGGCATAAACAGTACATATGGATTCCTGTTTCATTTTGGCGGTTGTATTTTGGAGTGAGAACTAAGTGGAAACTATCGTTAGGATCATGGTGACATACTGTACCTCGTGTATGCGAGCGATTCCTGTTAGAAGAGTAACCTCACCAGGAAAGTGGTCCAGACCTTGCTTGAAAAGGTTAAGTGCTGTTATTGGTTGATCCAGGCGCTGATACACCTATAGGGAAACACACACATAAGGTGTTTCATTGATAACACTTGGCATCAAGAAAGAGTATTTTCCATCGTGCAACAAATTGGTACTGTGTCACTACCTTTGCAAGGTAGAGATATGTATCCACCACCTCTTTATGGTTGAGAGCTGATCGAAACTGTTTTTCTGACTCTCGATACAAACCCAGCCTGCAAAGGTCAGAGACATTAATCATAACATATTGCAAAAATTATACTTAAATGTTAGAAATGTGGAGCTCCAGCCATTTGGATGCCTGTGAGTTACCTGTAGTAGCATTTCCCGAGCTGAACTTTCCACCACCAGTCTTTGAACTGAGCGTGTTCAGTAGCTTGGGCAGCCAAATCTAAAGCCTGGATAATAAAATATGAAGTTCGTGTTGCATGAATAATCATCAACAATCTCACAATGTAAAACACATTTGTAAAAGTAAAAGTTAGATTTCTAAAACACTTACATTTTTAACATCGTTTTCATGATGGAAGATGTACTCAAACAATGTCTGAGAAGGGAAAGTATGGTTACTCGACATGTCCGACAAAATAATGATCATAACTCATTTTTGCAAGTCTCAATCTTACCCTGGATAAATGTGGTTTTTGGGAATACTTGGCAAGATTTAGTCTCGACAAGTTTATATATGGTCCTTCTGGATTGGTTAACATCGACGCCTGCAGAAACAGTCAAACAAAAAGTCATGTTAAATGTTTTAGGCTTTCTTCATAGTCAATGTAGCAAAAGAAAACTGTTAAAAATAAACAAGTGCACCAGAAGATATTGGTACAATGTAAATATAACATATTGTATTTGAAAATACTATAAACAAAGCTCAATAAAACACAAATATCATGTTGGATATGTCTTTTTAAGAAGGTAATATTGATTATGCTGTGTTTCAATATAAGAGCTGTGGTGGGAAAAGTGTATTTGTGTTTGCACAGTCGATACAGACTGACACAATTTCATGGAATATTTACTCACTGTTCCCAGACGAATGAATCTGCCAGAAGCACTAGTGACGGGACGAGCAGTGCTTGCAGTGCGTGGGGTCTTGATGGCCTGCTCCATTGTCCCAGGACGTCCTGACTGTGTGCTGGGCCTCACAAACCCTGTGATAGGACGCCCTGATTGTGTTAAAGGCCTGGAATACAGAAAAGGGAATTCAGATCAGGCAGATCAGTCTCTTAGTTTGAGGAAAAAGTTAGCAATGGCAGACAGTACCTGACGGCCGGTGTGGGACCTCCGCCCTGACTTGTTCCAGGGAGCCTCAGTGATGTTCCTGGTCCTGGAAGAAAAGTCAAGTCTCATCAATCAGACACATTTAACAATTGACTAAATGTATGAATTATTAATTTTCTTAACTTTAAGGAGCTGAGAAGAGTTTACGCTTACGTGCAACTTGAGCAATAGAGCTTTCATCCAGCATCATCTCAGCTATCCCTTCCTGGTCGACCTCAATCTCATCGATGTATACCATCTCTGTAAGAGCGCGAGTTTTCAAGCTCCATGCAGCCTGAGGAACACACAATGCTTCAGTCATACAGATGGCCTCGGATGTAAACAGTGAACATGTCACAGTCAGGACCTTGTGTTGAACTATCCACACGAAAAAAAGTATGAAAAGGGAAGGCAGAGAGTAACGAGGTTACCTCTGATATATGTAAGGAGGAGTCCTTGAGACAGCATGCAGTGATTTAGTGAGAGTAGAAGAAGGTTGAGGGGATAATGAATGGAAACAAAGATGCAGCAGAGAAAAACAAAGATGAAATGTGAAGAAGAAATGTGGTCTAGTGACCAAGAAATGAGACAAATGTGGATTCTCATGCTAATAAATACAACGTAACCTAAATGAAATAAAGATAACCTTCACAGACTCGACCTATCTGGATTATACACCGTGTTCTACCGGGTTCCTGCGTTAGCAAACAAGCAGGATTTCCTGAACGGATAATCGCTAGCATGCTAAGCTAACCCCCGGCTAACTACGCAACAGTACCTGATCGTACGGGCTGTCCTGTAATATTTTAGTGCAAATATCTGAACATTGTTGGAGCCTTCGCCTCCTGAAGTAGCTCAGCGCCAGAAACAAAGGGTCCATCGTCACCTCCATTGCTCGGTGGGGGAAAGTACGACGTTAGGTGTCACAGTTAGCTTACACACAAGCTGTTTAGCTAAGCTGTGATGAGGGCGAGACCGACGCTTCCTCTGTCGCTCGGCAACGACGGAGGAGGGCGGGGCTTAGTTCCTCTGTCTTTAAAAACACTCACGTCTATTGGGACATCTACGAGTCTTAAAATACAATAGATGTTGAAATGCAGGCCTTATGACATATTATTAAAACACTCATGTATGCCTTAAATCATATCCTACTTATTTTAGGGGAATATTATGTTCTTTGTTTGTAAAATGCACATTCAGAGTTTGATATTTTCAGTAAGACACAAGGAATTGATGTTAAATTGACTGATTTACATATTTCACATACTCTGCATGCTTTTGTCTTTTGTGTCTAACAATGCAGCATAATCTTGTAACAATGCAGCATAATATTGTCTTTAGTCCATGTTTCTATTTAACATAGTTATCCCTCATTTTAGTTGCTTTGTGTGTGTTGTATTTGAGAGCCTCTGTGTTGCATTGTTAGTACTTGACAATGTAATATAAGAGTCTCCTGGATGATGATACTACTTATGTTTATATTCTCACTTCTTTTGTTGTTTGTGCACGCATTGTAAAGGGTCAATATTGCATAACTTTGCAGATTTAATCTTATATTCTGTTTTTAGGTTTACTTTGCAACATCTGCCTTGGGACTACAGATGAAAAATAGCCTCATTTACAGCAATGTTTTTATTAATGTGCACTGTCCCTTATCAAATAAACCAATAATTCAAATTCTGTTATCCAGTTTGAAATATTAGTCCAGCATTAACTTTGCCGGCCATGACGGAGTTGTCGTCTCCAGCTTTTTATTCCTCGAAGATGAGTGAAGGGATCTGATTGGACGACACGAAGGTCCGTCATCTTTGTGGGCGGTGCTTGCGAAATAACAGTGCAGCTCCATCTTTGCGGGATTTGACAGGAGCTTTGACCTGTGTCGAGGAGGACTGCGAGACTCGGGATGAAGCAGTGGAAGTAGATCCTCATGATGAGAACAACAGCGTAAAAAAATACCTGTTTCCTAAATAGAGACAGAGAGCTTTCATCATATCGGACAGCAAGACTATACATTCACATGACCCTCAGAAATGCAGAATTTCAACGCTTTCTCTAGACTGGTGGAAAACGGATCTAATGGGACACAGGGGCTTAAAATAAATCCTTTTTGGTGAATGACGCTATATCGGAAAACCTACGTGATAGCGACAGACACACACACGGAAGTGCGGACATGGCTGACAGAACTGCTCCGAACTGCCACCTGAGACTGGAGTGGGTGTACGGATACCGGGGACATCAGTGTCGCAACAACCTGTACTACACCGCCGCCAAGGAAATAGTCTATTTTGTCGCCGGTGTGGGAGTTGTATACAACACCCGGGAGCATAAGCAGAAATTTTACCTGGGACACAACGATGACATAATCAGGTAGTGTAATGACACAGAACAGTTTGTTTCAGCACCTCGGACAGCGTCTGACCCACCGTAGAAAATGAATTGATACTGTAGTGTTGTCATTGTGGGTGCTGGTGTCACCTTGTGTAATGTAATATGATATATATATATATATATATATATATATATATAT